GGGGGGGGGGGGGGGGGGGAATGAGCAGGGGATCATGGCATGGCAAGCTCTGTCTAAGGAACATAACAAGGTAGGTCAAAAGAATTAATTATTGTATTTGTTTGGATTTCATTTATTTCATCAAGCATCAATGTAATTCCTTAGCTCCAGAATCACAATGGTCATAACAGAAGAAATCAACAACCCCAATTCCAAAAAATAAAACCAGAAAATTCCTGAACTCTTTGTTAGCGAACCAGGCACAGAGAGGGGAGATCTCCCCATGTACCTTTTATCAAAATAAAGTAAAAACTAGTTTACAATCATTTCTTTGGAATTACAGAGAAAGGAAACCCTACACACTTCCTACCAAGCTTTGGTCAGTCCAAATTCATAATTCAGGATGTAGAGAATATAATTAATTCTATTCTCACTCATGTTTTATTATAATGAATGTAAAAGAAAAATTACACAACTACTAACACTTTCATAATGTCATCATCTCCTCGGTCACACTATTTTTCCCCCTCAGGTGTTAAGTTGCTCAGCCTCAAAATTTCCTGCCTTAGGGATTTCAGTAACATGAACTTTGTGGTGAAAAAGGAAATTCAGTTTTTCTTTTTTCTTGTATCGTCAGTCTCTTCCTCCTTAATACAACGGGAGTGATGGCCCTTAGTCTTGACCTTTAACACAGCTTTATACGCAGGGTTGGTTTAAGATCCTAAAGGAATTTACTCACAGTTTTAAACCTAATAAAGCAGCTGGATGCTGAAAACAGGAGAATGTACAGACAAAGGGTAGCTGTAATAAGTAGAATTTTGTTAACAATCCACAATATTTTCCATTAAAAAAAAAAAAAGTCTTGTATCCCAAGTAGTAAAGCCAATTTTGTTTTGACAAAATCTACCTCTGTCTGCAATTTTCTATCAGTATTTACTCACATACAAATTCAAAGCAAACTTTCAGCCACACAGATATTACTGCACCATTCTTTTTCATTAATAGAAATCAGAATTTGAGTTTCTGCTGTGACTGTGTCAGACCCCTCCCGTACGACACCCGAAACACAGACTCACAAAGCAATCCCAAGCCCCGTGTCATTACAGATCCATTTCAGTGACCATAGTGAAGGTGGGGAAGGAGGGGAATAACATGCAAAAATGCAAATTAGAAGTTAAAAAAAAGACTCAACTTTCTCAACTTTAAATTTTCAAACACAGTAGAGACAGTGTTTGTGCAAAAGTGAAGAACATGTTAGAGACGCTCTCGTGACGCTAATTAAATCAATGAATTCTTTGCAGGTGGTTACTGCTGGGTACCTCCTTCATCAGACGGTCTCGTTACCTCACTGCAGCATGAAAGGCTAGGGTACATTTCCGAGAGTTCTGACTTGTCGTCCCCCACACCTGTACCAAAAGTACTGCTGGACTGAGATCGAGATCGGTGTCTCCTATAGTGACTCGCCTTTTCTATATTGGAGGAAAATATTTATACTTGAGATTCGGTGACTCGAACAAACAAAACAAAAATATGTAAAGTTTAACAATCCCTTATTAAATAATAATTCAAAATCTCGGCTGTTAAATTATTCCAGCTACCTATTCCCCAGCTTCAGCATGCATGGCAGTAACTACATAAATGACTTATGGGTCATTTATATTCCCTTTAAATCTAATTTAAAAGAGAGACGGGGAATGGGAAATTGACAAAAACAAAGAAGATATTGGCAAACTAACAAATTTCTATTAAACATGATGCCTGGTTTTAAGTTCTTTCAAGTATCACCAGATCGATGGTTTAGATAATGGTTGGTCTCCCAAGGGTTTGTAATTCGGCCCCTCGTGTAATGGCAATGGGAGGTGGTGAGACCTTTAAGAGGAAGACCATTTCCAGTGTGGGCCAGTACCTTGCGAGACAAGACTGGCATGTGAGATGGGGACTGAGAGGTGAAGACCCGCTTTTAATGTGGGCAGGCACAGCCCAATTGGCTGAGAGCATAGGAGGGAAAAACAGAGGAATTAGAAAAGTCTGTGCACTCTCTCTCTCTCTCTCTCTCTCTCTCTCTCTCTCTCTCTCATTCTGCAAGTGCCCACCTTCCTTCCTCCCTATTTCTGTCATCCATGTTGTGGTACCAGGCCCCACGTCTTTAGACTTTACAGCCACCAGCATTAGGAGCCAAATAAATCTCTATTCTTTATAAATTCCCTAGTACTAGGTCTTCGTTTAGCGACTAGCAACATAACAGACTAATACGCCAGGTACACAGTATTAATTGTCTTTTGTTTTTTTTAGAAAATTAAATAACGCAGTTTGATTCAAATTAATTATAAAAGTGCTAGAATCCCTACTTTGTCTTGGGTATTCAGTTAATGTCCACAAATAAATATAAAGTAGAAATCAGGGGATAGAGCAAGACCTAAACAATACATTTATACTCTTTAAAACGACTGCACGATTGTCATAACGTTTTCAGATCATGTTTGTTAAACACGGTCTGAACATCGAAAATATCAAATCATGCTATCATTATACCCAAACGATTCAATTTTTTTTTTTTGAGAGGTTTTCGCTATAGGGCGCGTGCGCTCGCCAGACAGACAGAGAGAGACATAGAGACAGAAAGCGAGAAATCACCCCCCAGGGAGGATGGTCACGCCGCAATCTCTTCTCCTCCATTCTCCTCTCAGGATCTTGGGCACACACACACACACGCCCGGCGTGAGTTCTAAGCCACCGGGTCTGGGATGCGAACCATGGTCAGCTACGTGGGAATCCAGCGACATAGCCATTATGCTAACTGCAGGTTCCCACAAATGATTCAATTTTTGCCTTTAATTATAAACATATGGTCTAAGTTAAAAAGTCAAACTTCTTATGTAAACTATTCATTTTATGCCATGTAAAAATTGAGAGATAAATTTTAAGGATATTAAAACGTCCATTTTATTTTCAGACATTTATGATATAGAAAACTTTTCTACTGTTCTATATATAATTCTTTAAAGCTAACTTAAAAATATTGTAACAGTATATTTCATGAAACAAATCTCCTTTTTGTCTCAATAGCTTAGTGCAATCCAAATAACTCCATTTATAAGCCCAGAAAGCCTATAAAACCATATTTGCTAATAAAAAACAGATGTAAGTAAGTTCTACATGCATTTTAAATGAATCTAAGACAAACTAATCTGAGATATATTTAAAAGCCCCTTTGCAAGTTGTATTTTCATAAATGATTAATAGCATCTTAAAGTATCTTTTTTTTTTTTTTTGAGAGGTTTTTGCTATAGGGTGCATGCACTCGCCAGAAAGACAGAGACAAAAAGTGAGAAATCACCCCCCCATGGGGGATGGTCACACTGCAATCCCCTCTCTTCCATTCTCCTCTCAGGATCTGGGGCACACACGCACATGGCTCCCAGTGGGAGTTTAAGCCACCAGGTCCAGGACTTGAACCGCGGTCAACTATGTGGGAGTCCAGTGACATAGCCATTACGTTAACTGCTGGTTCCCATCTTAAAGTATCTTAAATAGTACTCCTTAGGATTTCTGAATCCTCAGCATTAACATTTACATTGCAAAGTTGGCACAGTGAACCTTGACAATTCGTAGTAGCTTCATTTTCAGGAAAAAACCATGCAAATGGAAAGGCGTTCAAATCATGATCAATACCAGAGAGCAGGTGGAGACTTCGAGACTGAATATTGTCTTCCAGGGGATCAAGGTCGAAGATGGAGCCTGGATCTGTGCGCCATACTTTGAGGTCTTTTCCCAAAAGGAAGAAATTGACAAATCAAGAAGGAATTTAAAAAGCCAGCACCAAAAAGAGTTAAGCAAAAGCCTGGAAAGGACTCTGTAAAAAAGCAAATGTGTAACAGCAAACCCATGGAGCTGGAGACTTTAGAGAACGAAAGGATATTCACCCTTACCGGTATCTGTTAAGAAAACTTTGCAAGTCAATGTAGGTGGCCTGGTTCCGCACTGTGCCCTGCCCTGCCATGCTGAAGCACCTGTGACTCATTTGCAGTGTGTGTGCCCAGGAGGCTGCGACGCCCCCACAGCACCCCCTGCACCCCTACTCGCTCTTACTCTCGCACACTGAAACGGGCAGAGTGTCTGAGAAAAGTTCCTGGTTTAGGGTATCTGAGAAGTTCACAGCAAACAACTAAGAAGGTGTGTTTAAAAATCAAAACAAACCAGGGCTGGCATGTGGTATGGTGGTTAAGGATGCTGGACTCCCACATGGCCAACGGCAGTTCGAATCTCAGACCCAGCGGCTTGCTTTCTTACATTCTCTCTTTCTCTCTGGTCAAAATAAAATACATAAATAAAGTTGAATAAAATAATTCTTTAAAATAAAAAAAAAATACTTTAAAAAATCGTAACAAATCAGAAACTACTCTCCCTGTAACGGAAACAAGTACTTGAAACGTAGAGAAGTGGCAAGCCCGGTTTTCCTTCGAATCTGTGAGTGCAAGCTAAACCAGAAAAGATGCACAGACTTTACAGCGATAAAGCACCCAGCAAGGGATGATGAGGGATGGAAAGACCCAGAACAGCAGCTTCTGGCTCTCAGGGGCCCACAGACGGCTTCACGGTCAAAGCTCACAGTCTGACCATCAGCCTGTGCAAGCCGACGGGGCCCCTCCTACTTCAGTCGGGGGCACAATCCAATCTAACAACTTCCATCTTGATCAGTTTCCCCAGCTTCTGAGTGTCAGGCCCTAAAAGAGCTGCACCAACAAATGAAAACTAAGAACCTAATTCCAGACATACAAAATGACTGGCTTGCCCGTTTCAGTTAGTACTGTGGAGTGTTCACCATACGCCAGGTACTAGTTATTCTCTAACCTAACTCATTCAGGCTTCACACATACTAAAGTAGCTCCTATTATTATCCCCACTTCATAGATGAGGAAACCAAGGCACAGAGAGATGGAGTCACCCAGCCAAGACAACACAATGAAGAAGTAACAGGGCCTCCGACAATAAAGGGAAGCAGTACAAAAATGGCTTGGTCTGAATTATCCTAAACGTGTATTTCCATGCCTGGTACGAAGCTGGTGCACTGGAAAATTCAACGACTGCTGAATGTACTTGAGGTCGTGCATTCACAGGCAAGCCCTCAATGGAAATGTGTTTCTCTCAATAGGAAGTAATAAACTGACTTCTGGATTATGTAAGTAATTTAGAGTTACACAACTTATCCTGTAAACTAGAATATTAATTTCTATCTCAAAGGTTATGAGTACTGAATTCTGAGAGCCCAAGGGCTAGGTAGTTCCATGTGTCTTGGCTATGTTCTCACCATCTTGGCCCCTTCCCTAGGCAGGACCATGGTGTAAGCTGCACAGACCTTCCAGTCCCACCGAGGGAGGCAAGTCAGACCCCTGCAGGCACCTCTCCTTTGTGAGAGGTTCGTACAGAGCAACGGAACCCTCTACTCCATGTTACTCTTAATGAAAACCTCACAACGCATCCATCCCACTTAATGGGGTCCTTTTAGTAATCAAGTGGGAAGATCAGCAGCTATCAGTCGCCTATAAATATGTTTGGAATCCTTCTCTGCAAGTACTTAGAGTCACTTTAGTAATCATCTCAGACACTTAGTGCCCAGAGTTTAGTACCTCGTTTTGCACTAAGATATCACCCTGTCAAATACAGCCTTTTCCCATCTAGTTCATCTCTAAGTGGCCTTCTGCTAGAACTGAAAAACAAGCTCTTAATTTCAGAGATTAAAAAAAAAAAATCTTAACACTGAGGCTCCTGAAAGGCATATATGATAATTGTCAAAAATATTCTTTGAGCTACTTACCTGGACTAACTATAAACATTCAGAGAATTGCTGCTCGGAAGGAGACACAGTCATAGTTGTTCCCACACATTGAGACATCAGCAACTTCCCTTCCAGTCCACCTTACATGTCAGTCTGACCTTTGCTGATCTCTCAGTCATGATCCAACACTACTTTCTTAAAACTTACCCACTAATTTGGTTCCTCTCCAAGTTATGAGATTTTCAGACAGCCTTCAATTATCCCAGTGCAGAAATAATATTGAAAAATACAAGCTATTCATATTGTAGAATACCATCCGATCTCTCTGGCATGTCAGTTTTGAGTAAAAGGACCGAAATGTGGCATGGTTAGTTCTGTCACCCATGGGCATGATGTCTACAAGTAACACACACTGATCAAGCACACGAGCTAAAGAAAAACAAAGTAATTATTCCAACATGGTCATCGCCGGTCTCTGGGATGTCCCTTTACTTAACAGTAGCACCATTCTCAAGACCGGAACAGTCTTTTTTTGTTGTTTTCTTTTGAGAGGTTTTTGCCATAGGGCATGTGCGCTCGCCAGACAGAGAGACAGAGAGACAGAAAGTGAGAAATCATCCCCCAGGGGGGATGGCCACACTGCAATCCCTTCTCCTGCATTCTCCTCTCGGGATCTTGGCACGCACGCACACGTGCCCGGCATGAGTTTTAAGCCACTGGGTCCGGGACTTGAACCACAGTCGACTACATGGGAGTCCAGAGACATTGCCATTATGCCAACTGCTGGTCCCGAAGACCTGAACAGTCTTGAAGACAAATGTCGTCCAGTAACAGAAAGGCTTTTCAATGATACCTGGTGAGTGCCATAATCCTATCCAGCCTGGGACAAAAAGAACACCTTCCCTGTGGTTCATTTCAAACTGGGCATCCCATCAAACATCCGATGGAAGGGATGCTAACTCTAAAAGGTAGAGCAAGCACAATCTTTTTGACCGTGCTCACCTGAGAAAGCCCATGCACTCACCCACAATGATTCCAGGTCTCCTGTCCATCTCCACAATGTGAGGGTGGACCCCTTTGTAGGCAGCGTCGCTGACCACCTGGGTGTTCTTCCTCACCCGCTCTGTCACGGGGTCATCCACGACAGGTGTGAAGCCTCTCCCCTTTGTCTTCTCAAAATCTTCATGATATTTTACCTGCAGAGAGGAAAACAATATTAAGCCAAACTGAGACTTCTGACTGCTATCTATCTTGCCAAATTCTGATAAAACGGCAGGTGTCACTGTACCAGTCACAGCTAGATTATTCTCCACTTACTTCCTGTTATTCAAAAAACAATGTCAAAAAAATAAAATGTCCAAAACCTTAGCTTCCTAACTTAGAAATGTAGAACTAATATTTTCCACAGTTTTTGTAAAAATTACAGGTAGTGTCTCTTTTAAAAATTATGTACAGACCTATATATCATAAGACATTGTAAAAGATGAAGTACTTAAAGCCTGGTTACTTCCTAAAATAATTTAGCTACAAATTAACTTCACATTTCTTAACCTTTAAAATGGAATGAAGTCATAAGCTATTTTCACACACTCATTAAAGAAAATGGTATTATTTAAAAGTAGGTTAAGAGAGTTATAGATAATGATATATACATTTTTGTATATAATTGTTAAATGTACATATACTCTAAAACATAGTTTTTTCATGTCCTGAAATCAGATCAGGGTGATGGTTAAACAAATATGTAAATTATACAAGAAAACATTGAATTAAGTATTTTTAATGGGTAAACCTTATGGTAGGTGAGTACTATCTCATGAAATTGTGTTTTACTTGTTTTATTTTATTATAGGATGTTATCATAGGGAGCATGCTTTAACCCAGAGACGGACACAAGGAAAGTGAGAAATCATGCCCCTGGGGGGGGGCAATCCCCCCCCGGGGGGGGGGGGGGGGTTGGTGGCCACACTGCAATCCCTTCTCCATTCTCCTTGTGGGATTTTGAGCATGCATGCATATGCACACAGCTTGATTTTCAAGCCACAGATCCAAGGCTTGAACCGTAGTCGGTCATATGGGAGTCCAGTGTCTTAGCCACTCAGCCACCTGTTGGCCCTATGAAGTGGTTTTTTAAAAGATGCATTTTTTTCATATTCTTTATGATATGCAAACACACCAAAGTCTATCTTCAAGTTAATTAGAAAGAAATCTAGGCAAGTGTTTTTCATAAAGTGCAATGATAGTTAGAAATGAAAACACACCATAGTCACTGAGAAAAATCATTTTATTAGACTAAATATTTCCATTACATTTCAGTTCGATTAGAAATCCCCAAGCCCCGGCCCCCACCACACACACACACACACACACACACACACACACAGTGCAGGCCCATCCACATTTGCATGCTTTGTTAGCTCTCTGGATTAATAGTCAGCCAACACCAGTAGGGTCTTGCTGTTCCTTAGTATGTTTTAGTCATGAGAAGAATGACCTGGTTGTTTCCTACCATTGAAATATGATTTTGTGCTTCTTTAACATGTCTCAGACCAGGGGTATCTAAAATCAGACTTGGTCTGCCTTTCATCTGCTTTTGATCCTGTGTATATTTTATCTGAAAAGTAAACAGTAGACAAACTTATAAAAAGACAATTGTAATAAAACATTAACATCATCTTTTTAAGCTTTCCAAAGCAAAACATACGTGACCTACTAAAAATTATCTCCCAGGTAACATCTATAATTATTTATATTTCGTTCTAGAATGGTAACCTAAAATTGTACTCTCAAATATGAGGGGACATCAAAAATGGGAATTGTGGTGAAAGAATGAAATTAAAGTATGAGTTTATTTTAGTACAAGAGACATTTTGAAATCCATGCATAGTTTTCCTCAAAATATGTATTTTCCATGAGCTTTTGGAAGACTCCCTCATATATACTTTTTTTTAAAAAAATCTTTAAGAGATTTTTTGCTATAGGGTACATGCACTTGCTGGAGAAACAGAGAGACATCCCCCAGGGGGGATGGGCATGTGCAATCCCTTTTCCTCCATCTCCCTCTTGGGATGTAGGGCATGCACACACACGCACCCAACAAGAGTTTCAAGCTGCTGGGTCCAGGACTTACTTGAACCACATGGAAGTCCAGGGCCTTAACCATGATGTCACCTGCTGGCCCCCATATATCCTTTAAAGGCTATTTCAAAAATGGCCCACCTCTCTCAACTGAAAACAAATGTGGGAGTGACCAATAGTCACTAACAATGTAGTCACTAAAACTGGCTATCATATTCCAATTAAATAGAAAAAGTCCAAAACCAAAGAGAATCCAAACTGATCTCTAGCTTCTAAATTCTCCCATTTTCTGCCATAACAGTGTTAAAAAATGCACCCCAAGCTCCCCTCTGTTTTCTTTCCTTTTTTCCTCCTCCTTAGAGACTAGGAACAATGAAGAACAAATCTAGTTTCCTTCCAAGCAGCCACGGCTTAAGGGGATTTATGTTGAATACATTCGGCATCTCTGGATAGACACGCTGCTGCAGCACTGTAAATGCCGAAACCGAAATGCTGATCCCCAGGTGCAGTGCTCTGCAAAGCACACCAGGAACAGGGCCTGGGTCCTTGACAGCTGCCCATCAGAGCACTGACATCCGTGAAGCTCCCTGAGTGTAAAATTAGGATTCCACTTCTGCAGACCTCAGGGCACATGTGCAATTCGGAGCTGAAGCTCTAATATACACTCAGTAGAAGCATCTTCTCCACCTCAGACACTGACGTGCACCGTGGGACTTTATTGAGTAACTGAATTATATATTAAACATATTTAAAGGGTTTTTTTTTTCCCCTCTAAGTCCTTACTTTACAGCAATGACTCATTTGCTATTTTGTTTCACAGGGAGCACTTAGCAATCCACGTGTGATGAAATGACATTAAGTGACAATTATTTAGCTCATGCGGCAAAGACTTCTTCACTTTCAAAGACACTGGCTAAAAATCACATGAATCATTGTTTAAGTAAATATAACTTGAAATCTGTCAGTCACATCTGGAAATCCCAATGAAGGGTTGCAGGATAATATATGTGTATACAGTAGCAGCTTTTGAAAGCCATCTGAAATAACACAAGGACTTATTGGAAGTATCACAAATGTTTCTTGAAAATAAATGTTCCTTTCACAAGAAAAATACAGGACTGCAAGACAATAATAAAGGATACATCGCCTGTGATCGTCCAAAATGAATCAAACCACTTGCCGAGCTAATATTTTCTTGATTCTTCTTTACTCTTTCCATTTCAGGAGTTACACTTAAAGCAGTAGCTCTTCCCAGCTGGCCTTTGTAATAAACCTATCATTTCAGAGGGGGGAAAAAATAGAGTACTATGAATCAATTCAACTAAGAGTCTTATGGCACTTATTTTAAAGAGTTAGTCAGGGGAGGGAAACTATGAAAAAGGCGGACACCACCAGAGGTCTGGCCATACTTAAAATGCTGTATCTTACATCAGTCCATTCCATTCCATTCAGAAGGGTGTGTTTGTGTCCAAGTCACTGCGGATGGACTCAAACACACAGGCATACCATCGGTAAGCTGTAACAAGCATTTAATCACAAAGGACTGGAAGAGGAGATGTCTTTGTGGATATTTCTTCGGGGTGTTCCGGTTTCGTTGGAATGGCACTACACTGTTGTCGTTTCTTAGGAATTCACCGCAGCACAGTTTTGTGAGGGCATGGTAAGTAGTGACCACCGTTATCTACACAAAGGCCAGCATGCTTTCTACTACTCCGTTCTTCCTCCTCCATAACCATGTTCTGGCAGCCATGGAAGCAGAGTGGGAATGCAGTGCTCCATGATGCTATGGCCATAGGGGAAGGCCCCGGGTTCACATCCCAAGGCCGCCCTGTGCTTGCTGGGCAGGCGTGTGCTTGCAATCCCGGCTGGCTGAAGCTGGGGGAAGACTGTGCCACAAGCAACCCTGTGGGAGTATGTCTCTTCCCCTCTCTCACAGAAGGAATAAATGAATAAACTTTAAAATATAAAATAACCATGTTCCTTTTCTGAGGATAATGAAGTCAAGTCAGAGACTCTAAATAGACTGGGGAAAGATGAGCATCTACCGCTCTAAAGTATAGTTTTTAGGAAATGTATTGAACAACAACCTACTGTTGCTTTATGAACTGGTTAAATGACTTCAGAGGTTTAAAGAATAAAAGATGCCTTTGAATGTAATAGATTTCCAAATTTCCTCTTCTAAGAACCCAATCTATATGTTAATGACTTCAAAAAGGGATTCTCTCAGTGACCTGCATCCGAGGATTATATAAACAAAAGGGAATGAGAACAGGCCGCAAGACAGTGTGGAAGGGAAAGCTGTATCCTCTTACCGAGTGCCCCTAAAAATGGCCCCCGCCCATGGGACCTGTTGGCCCATGCACTCCATCACAGTTGCCTGGATGCTGCCCCAAATAAAATAACCACTTCTGGGAGTGGAGGGTGGGGCCAGGGCGGGGCGCACACAGCAAGCATACAGATGGGAGAGGGAGTGGGGATGCTTGATGGTTAAGACTAAGAAGCTGAACATACAGGGACTTCCTTTTTGGGAACCTCAGCAACT